GGGATGTGTCATTTTATACCGTAAATTTGAATGTAAGTTAATCAAAAGCATGAACGAAAAGTCATTCAGATTATTTTAATAGTTGTTTGTAAAGGAATCTATACCTCTGTAAGTGACCAGCTGATAACCAAGGAGCTAACCAGAAAATGTGTCCTCGTCTGCAACAAAATCCCCCAATCAATCAATAAAATTCCTAAATTTCATAATAAAAATAAAAGATAACCTTTTAAACGCATCCCTACCTCAGGAAAACTCCATAGAATGCCCCAGGTCACATACAATCTCGACGAGATCTGTGGCAAAGTCGCCGAAACCGGAGACCTCACCAAACCTTTCCAATTTCAAAAACGAAATTAGCAAAGAATAATAATATAAAATGAAATTCGAACCTTTAAGGATGCTCACCAACAATGCCATGCAGAATCTGGCCAAAACATTTAAAAAAAAAAACTTTAATCAACCCATCATAAAATCCATACCAAAAAGAACAAAGAAACTGAATCATTTCGAACCTCCATGACTGCTGCAGTCTGAGCTAGCTGCAGAGGCTTCTCGACAGCATCGTAAACCTCTCTATAGCTCGATTCCCTCAGAGTCCTGACAGCGAAGTACAAAACCTGAACCCTAATCGCAAATCCAAAGCAAGCCAACACTAATCAGAACAAGATTCAAAAGAAAACCCCGATCTAGGGTTTCGAGAGAGGGTACCAGCCAACGAACACGGCCCAGTTGTAGACGGACAGGTAGACGCGCCTCAGAACAGAGAGGCATTAGGGAGAAGAGGCTGAGATTGGGAGAGGCCGATGGAGATCTGAGATCTAGGGTTTGGGTATTTTTAAATGATGAAGAGAGGGGATCGCATTGATTGGATTTAGGTGAGCGGATCAACTACTGGAGTTCTTGGGACTTTAATTTCTGGGCGTCGATAGCTGATAAACCCCCCCGCCAATAATAATAGGGGTTATTTAGATATTAGTCCCTCAAATCCTCTAAGATTCCATATTAGTCAAAGGGTTAAGTGAGGGGTTAAAAAGCTCTTAATCCCTTCTTAACCCGCCAAACACAAAAAATCTATACAATGGTTAAAGTGAGTTAACCCAAAGATTAAGAGTTAACCCTTCTAATTATAAAAAAATAGTCAAAATCATTGTTATTCCTAAACACTAAAACTGATCACAATAACTAAAATAAAACTTATTTAACGGGTTAATAATTTAGTCCTTCAGATTATCGAATGGGCTAGGTACATTAATCCTTCTCTTTAACCCCCTCTTGTAGAACTCATCTTGTTAAGAAAAAAGGATTATTTGTACCTTGATACTTTAAAATTTATATCTTTATAACTTTAATACCCTAGAGTTTTTGACACTTCTACCCTAAAGTTTACTCCTCTTATTAATTTTAATAGCTGAAAGTTCTTCAATATGTTTTTATTACGACAAAGTTTATACCATATTAACTTTGATGTCTTAAAGTTTTGTTTTGATGCTTTGATATCCCAAATTTTAGGGTATCAAAGTTAAAACATGTGTAAATTTTGAGGTATCAAATTAAAAAATGCAAAATCCTTAGGGTATGAAAGTTTAAAAATATATAATTTTTAGGTAATCGAATTGTCAAAAAAGATTGAGTATCAAAATTTAAAAAAATGGAAGGTTTGGGGTATCAAAGTTTACGAAGGTGTAAAGTTTAGAGTACCAAATGGCTAATAACCCTTCAAAACACATAAGTTGAGGATATTTTGGCCATTGAGGAACCAAATTGCAATAACCCTAGAATTTGAGGGCCTGATGAGCATTTTCTTAGATTTGAGGGACTAGTATGGAATTATTGAGGGAATAGTATAACTAATCCTAATAACAACTAGAAAAACGAACAATTAGGGGTACATAAATAAACAGTTGAGCAATAAGTGATTAAAATTAATTAGTAATTATGTTGATAATGTTATTAGGTGGCAAATATTCATAACGTAATTAATGTACCATGCATTCAATATTTATTTTTTTCTTCTTCTTCAAATGGACATTAGATTTGATATCTTATGTCAGTGATATAGAACTGGGTGAAATAAAAATCCTAACATATTGAGAACTATGTTTTTCTTATAATTTATGATAACTTAGATGCTTTGAAGATTTCATGCTTTTCAATATACTAGATTTTATGCACGTGTAATGCACGTGGTTAAACATTGCGATTATGTATTTTTGGTTTACTAGTTGAGATGCACGTGCAATGCACGTGGTAAAAAATTTAATATTAATTTAAAATATAATTTTATTTGCCGAAAGTTTGGGTATAAATTTATTGAATGTAAATAATTCAGCCAATATATGAACAAAAGCTTAAAATTCACAAGTTTTGAACAGTAAAATTATATTTAAGGATCAATTATGCTATAGCACTATCTAGAAGGTGATTGATGATTGATCAATGAACGATGCATCAATCTAGCATTAGCTGTATGTTTCACGTTGCCTTGTATTTGTAGAGTGATTGCTGGTTGTTCATTACGCTTAACATTTCATGACATAAAATTTGGATATCATATCCTGCATAATGAAAATTGGAGTACTTTATTAAACCAGAGTATCGTAACTATACATTTGGGAAAACACATACGGAAATAAGGAGCTGTCTAGTATCTTGATGCTAAAGAAATTGGATTACTTTATTATCCACTCGGAGCCAGGCCTTGTGGCATATAGTTTTCTCTGCAGCCCTGATTAAAAGAAAATGATAGAGGTATTAAACACCAACATAAGCTATCTGACTAATTCATTAGGTTAATAGTAAAGATTAGATATATGTACCTCTTGAATTCAGATCCATTTTGACAGTAACCGTATAAAGAGGCAGTACATGTGTCTTGACATCAGGATACCAGACAATATACTTTGAAGGAGCTTGCTGGTTATCTACACCAGAATCAAAATCTCCAGAACTTGAACCTAATTGTCTTGAGCCGGGAAGTATCGTCTCTGTGCTTCCCAAGATGACACGACAGATCACCATATGGTTCAGTCCATCTTCACTAATTGGTGTGGTAATAAGGTTACAAACCATTTAGCATGAACGCTATGTTAATGTAAAAAGTAAAAGGTTGTAAAATTGTATTTGTGGGAATTCGAGGAGTAAAAAGAAATCAAGTATGTGTTTTATACATTAATATGTCAATAATCAGATAGTCATGTACTGTGATGAAATTAAGCTAATGTAAATTATGGCAACCATCTACTGAACGCAACTTTAATGAAATGCTACTACAAAATACCTCAAAAACAGTATACACGTTAAAAAAATTAACAAATAAATGAAATTTTTGAATACCTTTCGCGAGCAGGAAGATCCGGACAAAGATGCAGATCAAAGCCATAGGGTCCAACATTCTCAGGCAATCTACACACACGAAAGCCATTCTTCATGATTTGATTAACCTCATCCTTCAATGCTCCATACCATGAATGAACAACATTTGCATCCCCCCTCTCTTAGCTTCCATGACCTCCTTGAAGATCCTGAAACTTTCAACCTAAGCTTTCTCCATCGGAGAAGAATGAAGACTCCGATAAGCATCAACAACCGTGCACTGCTGTGAAAGAGCACCAATGCTCAAATAGAATCGATGCTTCAGTATGATATACTCATCATCTTCCTCATTCAGCTTAAGCACCCCCATTAACTCCATCAATCGTGTTAGAGACTGGTCCATCAGTGACACTCCCTGACTATAAGCAACAACTCTCCATATCAACTTTCTCCTCCTCTTCACTCTATGATCTTTCACCCATGTCAGCCATTTATTGGTTATCAAATTCACTGAAAAAAAACAAAGGAAAAAATGATGCCCATGATAGGTTCTACATTAGCAGATTACAAAGATATGATATGACATCAGATCTTTTTGAATTTTTTTTGAGAAAACTCAGCAAAATGCTAAATTTTACATTGATTCAAAACTAAATATCATACAACTGTAATGGGTGACAATATCGAGATATTATAATTTGATTTGTGCAGAGTACCACTTAACATGTAAATGTCAAGAAACAATAGCTTATCCCGATGATCTGCATCACTTTGATAGAACCACTTTCTCACTTTATTTGCCCTTTCATATTCATTTTAGAAAGTGCCAAGTTTAGTATAGACCTCAAGAATCAAGACTGCCGAGGAAGTTTTTCCTGCACAGTACTAAGTTGCCAGAAAAGTGCTCTATGCATTATGAAGGATCCATCTAGTAGAACAATCTTTTTTAAGTCTCAACTATTTCAAGTTATATTTAGATATGTAGATATATACTAAAGATATGCATATAATTGCAGAAAATAGATAATAAAGGTTTATGACTTACAACAGTCACACCCAGAACATGTGATTTCAACATCTCCTCATCTATCTCCTCCAACACCTCAGGAGGAGTTTCTAATAACATTGATTCAGCAGCCTGAGTTAAGTCAAGATAAACTTCATCAATTGATGCTCTCTCACATCTTTCTTTTAAAGACAGTATGCTGACGACCTGTGACACAGACACCATCGAAAAAATTGTCCAGAAAAATCACAAACATCATAATTTTTTGAAAAAATATTGAGTTTATCAAAACATCAAAGTTCAAACCTCAGAGCCAGCATTTCAATATAAATTCAATTCGGCTTTACCACATGCAACCGGAACCTGAACTATATTGATATCAGGGTAGACCTCTTTCACCTCATCTGCTCACATAGAGCTGAGGGTATTGGGTTAGTAACACAATTTAGCCTCTCTGAATGTGAAAATATTACTGCTAGAAAAATGATCTCACTGTTTAATGCCAAATTGACGAGCTTCGTAGCTAACTGCAATTAATCCCCCACCTTTCCAAGAGTTATATTGCACTATAATTCCCAAACGCACTCCTCGTATTACCTTTAGCTTAAATATGTTAATTACTGAAAGAAGCAGATGGTCGCTAATCAACACTCTGACCTTTTTCAGAAGTTTGTCTCTATTGATGTATTTCGACAAGAGGCTATATTTTGATAAATCAGTTGTATTAGATATGATGAATAGTACTTGTAAACAGTAATTAACAGATGCCACTACTTGGTATCAATATATATTACACGAGTCCGCAAGGAGCATGTTTGGCAGAAAAAATAGCTACCCAATTCCACATGATTTGATTATTGACTTTAGGTGTTCCACTCGTTTCCCATATATTTGAGCTGGCTTTTCATTTTTCTTCTGTATTTAAGATATAATATAATAAGCCATTTATTACCAGAAATCCTTGAATAAGAGTATAGGAAAACTTAACCTTAACTTCCTCCTCTTCGCCTAATGACTGAGAACGATCATCTTCAGACTTGCCACCATCACTTTCATCACTTTTCTCTAAGTCATTATCCACTGGTTTTTTCTTCCCAGCGCTTGATGCTTTGCTCTTTTGTGCTGATATTTTCTGTCTCTTTGAACCTTTTGTGTCTACTTTCAATTTTTGTGCAGGCCTCTTTTTAGGTTTTTTTGATCTCCTCCTCTTCTTCATTGTCGCTAAAAACATCATCTGAATCTGAGGAGTCTGAATCCTTCCTCGACTTCTTATCGCCTTTGCCTGTTGTTCCTGTGACTCTCTATTGGAGGTCTTTTTAGATTCTTTCTTAGTACCATTTGTAGCTTGAATAACTTCATCCGATTGCAAGACCTAAGACATTAACAAATTGTTCAAATCTCAATCTACATTACAACTACTAATGAAACCAGATAGATAGGAACAACATAGTAGGTCAAATAACATATTTATCATAGAACTTACAGCATCCAATTCATCGCTGATGAATTTTTTTAAAAGCATCTAGACTATTCTTCTCAAGTTTAAGGTCTTCTTCTAACAGGCGACGAAGTTTTCCCAGTGTAATCCTGGATTTTCATAGTTTTCTTCTAAACTACTGTCAGTAAAGATTTAAGCGAATCTAATAAGAAATGTAAAGTGGTACATACTTAAGATTATATCTCAGGTAAGGAACTCTTTTTTCAATTGCCTTTTTGATCGTGTCTTCATTGATTTCGGTATCATGATCAGAACTATAATGACTTTTTCCAGTTTCATTATCAGCCTATTCATGTTCATCTAAAGCAGGAGACCCTCGTAAACTTTCGTTTAGATCAGCAATTCTATTCCTTAGATCTTCTGGCTGCAAGACTTCTTCTCTCACTGGCTGAGCAGGTTCTTCTGCAATTTTCTCCTCAGTCTCGGATGCATTCTTAGCATCAGCGTCATAAAAGTACTGATTTTAAAATAATTTAATGAACTTGCAAATAGATTATGGATAAGGAGGTAGCAAAAAACATATAGAAAGAAGGGAGAGAGCATAATGCAACACCAGAATACAAAAATGAAAATTGAAAACAAAAAAGCCCACAAAAAAATGCATGTGCTTGACAAGCAGAACAATGGTATTGCTCATAGTTATATTATCTAGTTCATTATTTTTTCTTGTCTGGGGAGCATGGGCAGCTTACACAGACTGCACCACTTTGGTCTTGCTCGTGATTTCCTCCGCCGTAGTCTCCACGTCCTCCAACCTCCTCCATCCTCCTCCGCCAACTATGAACACATCCACCTCCTCCGACTTTCAGCAAAACCTCCTCCATCATCACTTAAACAAAGAAAGAAATCCACTTATGCTCCTAGGCCCAAGATGCCTAGCGCTTTTATAAATTTATAACAATCAAAAGATGATCATCACCGGCACTAAAAGAGTAATTAAAAAAAGAATTTGATTCAGAGGTTAAAAGGCAAACTTGGAATTATCTGATACAATCCAGGTTTAGTATAGTGCTACAGTGCATACAAAAATCTTCAAGTTGCAACAGAATTGGAGACCCTTATAATCTTATGAGCTGTTGGATATGACAAGCAATCTTCTCAACATTTGAAGTGTCTAGATGAATCAAACATAAAAAAAAAACAAATTTTGGGTGTCTTGTTGAATACACTACAAGATGCTTGAAACACAGGATACACATCTACAAGCAACAAAAGCATAGCTTGTATACATGAAAACTTCAACAAATTCAAGTAATAATAAAAATATAAAGATTTCAAAATAACATTACCTCCTTCTCTTCCTATGCCCTCTCTGAATCTCACCAAACCAATACACTGTCACATTCAACGCCCCTTCAGGCGTCCCCCCATGACGCTTCTCGCTCCATGATAGTTCATAAATATTTCTGCATCCTACAAAGTAAGTACAAATAGAGTTAGTTTTATTTCTTGTGATTCCATAAATATGCACGTGTATTTTATTGTCTTGCCTAATAGAACTTGATCTAAGAGTTTCTGCACTTTTATTTCTCTTCATGTGTAAATGCTCTTCTTCCTTTAATTATTTATAGTTATCAAATTTTCTTGGATGAATAAATATGTTTACATCTAATGAAGAGATAAAAAGTAGAGTTGATTTCTTCCTTTTGCAATTTCATATATACACGTGGTGGGTATATTGTCCGGTCTATAAGAGCACTTGAACTTAAAGTTCATGAAGCGTCGCATGACACAGTTTCTTAAGAGGATGTTGTCTTGTTCTTTGTTTATTGTATTTGGATTCTATTATGAAGAATATCTGAATGAGAAAAGCATGCAAATTTAGCTTGAATTTAGAGTTTTTTTTTTAATAAAACAAAGAAGAGGGCACTTATGTCTTTTAGATCCTTGGCCCCCAGATGAATTTCTGGCTCCGACCCCTGTTTGTAAGTACTCATTTTAAAAGCATGAGTTCGGGAAAATCATTTAGTAGATAAAAATACACTTAGAATTTAAATATTAATCCATTAAGTAAGAGTAAGTTGATAAATTGATGAATTCTTATTGGATATACATAGTATGAAGATAAAAATATAGTTTAAATTAAAATGTAAACTTGAATGAAAGAGCAGGTTAGGTAAATTAGACGATTTATTAAATCTGCAAATAATTATTCACATTCTAAATGATTAATAATTACACACAAAGTGGCGATCTCTCACCGACTAAAATCGAAGTAGTTCAAAGTACTGCATAGTTAGTTTCAAATTTTAATTATATTATTATTATTTAAATAGAAATCTATTTATAATTGTTATCCTCTCACACGCAACATTATATACAAATATATATAAACCAAGAAATTATAATAATTCTATAGCACTTTTATCTCCTTCTACTCGTATGCGCCTTTGTTATTAGATTAGATTAGATTATTTTAAGCAATTAATTATATTGTATATTTAATCTTTTTCCAGATCAAGAAATTACAATAATTTTTACTGTGCTTTTATCTCCTTCAATAAGTATGTGTCTTTGTTATTTTCTTCTTATTAGAATAGATTAGATTGTTTAATCTCCTTCAATAAGTATGTGTCTTTGTTATTTTCTTCTTATTAGAATAGATTAGATTGTTTAAGAATTATGAATTATAAATGTCTTTGTTATTTTCTTCTTATTAGAATAGATTAGATTGTTTAAGAATTATGAATTATAAAATTACAACAATTTTCATAGTACTTTCATCTACTTTATTCTTATTAGATTATTTTAAAGTAATTAATTATATTGTATGTTTGATTTCTTTTCAGATCATAAAGTTTAATTATAATATTATTATTTAAATAGATATTGTTTGTATAAAAGTCAAAGAGAATCTCACACGTATCTTTGATCTCAATGCCAATTATAATACTTATGTATGGGTTTTGGTTAAAATAAATTTCATGTATGGGGTTAACTTATATGATCATACTTTAATCGGATTAGATAATTTAACATTTGTTCTTTACACCCAAACTCTTCCACAAAACCAAGAGATTTTCAAAATTAATCTTGGGGGTTGCTTGCATTAAAAAAATTATGTTAGAGGGCTCATATAGTGTATTTTATAGTTTAATATTGTCAACACATTTTGTCTCTTGTGCATATCAATTATGAGTAATAATATAATTTAATTGAACCAAATATATCCTAATATATTTCTAGACTATATCTTGTATTTTGCTCTTTATCATGTACAAACCTAACGATTCTTATTCAATTCCTTCTTTTTTCTTTTTTCTTTATTGACATTGTCTTTTGTTCTTCGTTGTGTACAAACTCATTTCATGGATTAGGGTAATGGTTTTTGAGGGGGGAGCAGAAGAAAAATATGTTGATTTTGTAAGTAAGCAAAATCATCAAAGAGTAACTGAGGAACAAAATTTAGTAATAAAATCATACTCCCTTTAAAAGCACGAGTTCGGAAAAATCTTTCAGGAGACAAAAATGCCCCTATAAAGTTTAAACTATCCTATCACTAATCAAATTCTAATTTTTAAATTGTATTTAATGATTTATTATAATCCTAATCCAAGATAATATATACTAACAAATAAACTAAAACGCATCTAAACTAATTTAAAACAAAAACTATACTTCAAAATATCCCAATCCGCTGACTTTCGAATTAAAAATTCTTAAAAAAAATCAAAATCTCTTATGTGCTCTACTAATCTTCACCTTATCAATCTACGAATTCATCGACTGCTAGCTCCCTATTCAAGATCTTTTAGATCGCCGATCTTCGCTAATTCTCTCGATCTGGATCCATCATCAACGCTCGATCGCCAAATCACAACCTAGCGTTTCTCCGATCTCAATTTCGTAACCTTTCCTTTCTTCCTTCAGCAATGGACTATGTAAGTACTTTAAAAAAAAAATTTGGTTGATGTTAGACCCTGAATGCTTTCTCATTTTTTATTAAGCCCCGAAGTTATATATATGAAGTTGGTTTTAGATAAAAGTTTTGTTATATTAGACCCTTAATTCATTCCCAATTTTATTTTTGTTTTGCGCAGTACAAAGAAGTTTGGGTTTTGTAGTATAGTTAGTTGTCATTACCTATCAGGCCCCCATATCTTTATTTTTCTAGACCCTACTATGATAATAATTATGGGTGGAATCCAGAAGTAAGAGGTGTTATTTGAACAACTTAATAGCTTTGATGTGTAAATATAAGTATGAGAATTGGGGAGCCTAATGTACAATTAAAAAATAATCTGGGATCTAATTTGGAAAACTTTTTATGTTAGTGAAATTTAGACTTCAAGTTGCATCATTATTTTTTATAGCGGGTTGGGTGATTGAGTTTGCTTATGTAGGATTTTATGGAGGACTCTTTAGTTTTTGATGAGGGAGATGGGAGATTGTGATTGGATCCTTATTATATGATGTATTCCAGTGGTGATGAGAGTGATACTAATATGATGGTGAATTCAGTTGGTGATTATTCATTAATGAATAATGGATAACAAAAGATTTATTTATTTAAACTAAAAGAAACTAATGAACATAAACTCTACCAAGCCAAGTAATTGGTCATCTCAAGATTTTTGATGGGTTTTGTAAGATTGCAACTAATTACTATGTATATAAATATATAAATTGTCAAAATAATTATTACTACATATGAATGCAAATTTTAAAAGTTAAGGGCGCTCTAATATGGAGATGTTAGAGGAAGATTAAGAACGCTATCGAGACATCATAATCTTATTCAAGGTTAAAATTAACACATTTTAATCTCACTCACAAACTATTTGGATTGGTAAAATATATGTATTTTACCAATACAAAAAAAAATCCTTCTATTTTATTGACTTGTCATACTAGATATATGATCAAACAAAAAAGAAATTATAGTTTTGAAAAATTAAATAATAAAATGCATAATTGTTTAAGATGTCCGTCAACAATCTCTTATTGCTTTATTTCAAAGTTTCACTTCTTCACTTTGGGGTTGTTAGGTTGGTTTCCTAAAAATCAACAAAAGAAAAAGGGTACATGGAAATCAATAAAAATATTATTTTCATCCATTTCCATTCCTATAATTCACCACAACATCCAATAAAATAATATTTTTATCTCACAACTCATCTCATATCATCTCCTAAAAATAAACCAAACACAAGAAATGTGTCATCTCCATCACATCACATCTCATCTCCATCACATCTCATCTTTAAAAATCACTCACATCATCCAATAATACAGTGACAACCCATCTCATCCCATTAACATTTTATTTCCACCCATTTCCTCCCAAAAAACTAGGAAATCAATTTTCTTAAGTGTGAGTCACATCATCCAATAATATAATGACAACTCATCTCATCTCATATATTTTCTTATTTTTATGAATGAACCAAACACAAGAAAAGAACCTATTACAGAAAATAGGTTTCTTATAATTTATTTTCTTATTTTTTTAGCCAACCAAACAACCTCAAACCAAATTTTTTTAAAAAAATCACCCACATCATCCAATAATAACGTGACAACTCATCTCTCATTCTTTGATTTCTTTTTTTTATAGCCAACCAAACAATCTCAAAACAATTTTTATTAGAAATAGGTTTCATATTCTTTTATTTTCTTCTTTTTTTGGGGAAACAAAGAGCCCCTTTGTCAATAAAAATACAAGAAACAGACTCTTGGATTAAAAAAAAAAACAAACAAACAAACAAAAAGACTCCTTAAATTCATCAAAAAAAAACACTCTACAAGGACACTCCACCCACAACACCTTACTGTTACATTCCCCACCCACTCACCCCCCAAACTGCAATTTATGGAAAGTCCAAGTCCTAAACATCTCCCCAATTTACTATTTTCCCCTCATCATAAATAAAATATTAAAAACCTCACCAGAAAACCAAAAAAACAGAAACCCCCACTAACCTTTCCCCATTTTAAAATCCCCCAATCCCCCCTCTTTAAACCGCCAAATCCCCCAAAATCTCACAATGTCCGAACCCTAACCCTAATTCATCCTCCGGCGATGAGAAAACCCCACCAGCACCGCCTCCTCGCCACCGATCTAATAGCCCTCCTCCTCCTCCTAACCCCTCTCCTAATACTAACCCTAACCCTAATCCCGACCTCCAAACCCCCTCAATCCCCAACCCTCAAACCCCCAAAACCCCCTAAACTCGCTTACCTGATCTCAGGATCGAGCGGCGATGGGAGTCGGGTCAAGAGGGTTCTTCGAGCGGTGTACCATCCGCTGAATCTGTACCTGGTGCGTTTGGATCCCGGGGGCGGGGACGAGGAGAGGGCGGATCTGAAGAGGTTCGTGAGATCCGAGAGGGTTTTTGCGGAGTTTGGGAATGTTAGGGTTCTGGAGGATGCGGATCACGTGACGAGCAAGGGGCCGACGGTGGTCGCGATGGTGCTGCATGCGGTGGCGGTCTTGTTGAAGGAGGGGAAGGAGTGGAGCTGGTTCGTCAATTTGAGTGCTGAGGATTATCCTCTAATGCCTCAAGATGGTAAGTTTTAAGCTTTTCTTTTGCTTTAGTTTTCCTTTTATGGGAATGGCTTGAAACTGGTAATTTGGTTTGAATATACTATATGTAGTAAAACTGACAAGTATTAATGTAGTTCAAGTGATAAGGTTATAGTTAATGGGCGGCAAAGAGAACTAGAGGCAGGCCTAAGAGAACTTGATTAGAAGCAATTAAAAAGGACATGATAATATCTAAGTTAATGGAGGAGATGACCCATAATTGAACTGAATGGGAAAATGGGATTAATCTAGCTGGCCTCAAAATTTTTGGATTAAGGATTTGTTGTTGTTATTGTTGTTGTATCAATGTATTATCTGTGTGTAATTAAACAGTGAGAGCTGGTTACGTTTTGCATGGCTGTTTTGGGATTTAGGTTTGTGTGCTTGGAATTTTTGTGAGAATTTTGAATTCCCCTTAGATCATAAATGAGCAATCACCTTACTTGTACGTGCAACCTTGGGAGTTTTAGACAATTTTTAGCCATTCCCACCTAACATTATCTTGTAATTTACATTGTTTCACTAAAATTTATATTAGAAATGCTGTTTCATATAATTTCATGCAATCCATGTCACCTTAGACTCTTCCTACCCTGGATCCTTTTACATAAAGATTTTATTGGGGGAAGCTTTCTGAGCTTGTTTTCAGTGACTTGTTGAATTAGGTTACTTAAGAAGTAGATTTCTCATGGGCATAGATAGTTGTTTACTCTGATCAGTATGTGAGCTGTGATGCCGGTTTAATTATAGAAAGATGCAATTGTATAGGCTAGTTCATGGTTTTCATAGGCAAGGGTTATTGAATAGTATTAATGATTGGTTTCCATTTTGGGGACTTGGAAGGACTGTTTAGGTTTAATTTATTTGAAATTTGAAATTATCAAAAATCAAAATGTGGGGGAAAGATAAATACATAGGTTTATAGGAGACTTGTTGCAAGTCGCTAAAATGGGTTCCTAGTCTTCGATGCAGGACGAGGTGTACCTCTTGTTTGACTCTGGTGGTCTCCTATGTGCATGAAGTCTTAAAACATCAAAGGTTAACTTGTGATCTCTATAGATTGAGACTTTTTAAAACTTAACATGGATGAAACAGGTTACCTGACATGCTTAATACCCTGACATTAATGTTTCTAACATACCATTTACAGTTGCGGGTCCGGATCATGTTATCTTTGTTTTAGTGTGCCAATTCAAAAGTAATTATCCATAATTGTGTCATATTTGTTTCAAAGTGTCCATGTCTATGATTCATACATCATTATGGATGTAAATTATTTCAACCCCTAGAATGCCCATGGATTTCATGATCAATCTGATTAGGTTTAATATATAAGACATTCACATTAGAACAGTTCAAAAGGATCTCCTTTCTTCCAAAAATACAGTTTATTCCCTGATACTTGGATTAAAAGGCCGGTGTATTCTTTTATTTGCAAAAGACCAGTTTTTTTAATAGTCAAAAACCACACAGAAACTTCTTAATTGTAAATACATGCAGATAGATAATTTAATGTGATAAGAGGCAATTGTGTTGCTAGAAAATTGGTGTAGATGTGTTAAATGAAATCCGGTAATTGGTATGATTTGGTTCTTCACATTCAAAGTAAAAGCAGCTTTGTCATTTGTAGAGACACCTCTGCAGAACTACTAGTGACTTGCAGTTTATGAAGTTTATGTAATATAAAGCCATCTTACCTATTTTGATTGTGTTGCTTATTCATATCTCTCTTCTCTCATCTGCTGCAGATCTACTTCATGTTTTTTCTTACCTGCCAAGAGATCTCAACTTTATTGAACACACAAGTGATATGGGCTGGAAAGAGTAAGCATAATCTTCCAGCAATGTATTCTTTGACAAAGTTTCAGGTCTTTTAGACTTTGATGATATGTTCCTCCCTCCTGCTCATACCATCTAGAATGTTTTATGATATTTATTAATTTATCGTGCAACAGGAATGAAAGGGCAAGACCAATGATTGTAGATCCAGGTCTCTATGGCTCGAATAAAAAAGATATCTTTTGGGTTAAAGATAAAAGATCTATGCCTTCTTCATTTAAACTATTTGTAGGTACTACTTTCGATTTCAATTCGTTTCTCCTCATAATTACATTTTGCTCTTATTTTATGTAGATCCTCTTTTTATTTTAATTTTTTGGTGTTGCATATTTGTGCATATGGCCGTGATCATTTACAAATGAGCCATACAATTGATCTGTCACCTAAGCCTTCTCCCACTAAATAGGGTTATTCGTAGATCATAAGTCTTCGTGCAAAGATGAAACAACTTTATGACGGTCAACGTCATCTATGTGTGAAAAGTTCTAGGATAATGAACCTATTGACTAGAGAGGAACTTATTTACTACTAGAAGCCCCAATAGCCAATAGCTTTATAGGTCTTGCAATTTAGGAGGCTATCTCATTGGTGAACAAATCAGTACTTTCTGCCCATACAAGTGCTCACTTGGGAGGGGGAAAACATGGTGAGGCAATCAATTGATGTAAATTGGCAGCACACTATATAGACTAATAACGGTATTGTTTTGAGATAGAAGTATTCAATTCACGTAAAATGTGTCTATAATCCATAGTCATGAGAAATGACGATATATTGAAAATTGGTGCATTATGTTATTGTGTTTTTAGAATGGCTGTTATGTGACAATTAAAAAGAATTTTAATGAGTGATGATGTTACCCATGTTTGATGAGTGACGCACTTCTCCAAATGTTTTTGTAATTGCAAAGTAAAGATATCTGTGTCTTGCAACATGCAAAGTAAAGATATCTGTGTCTTGCAACATGATAATATGAAAATTGTTGCATAATGTTATGTTATTAACAGTGCTTGCCCATGTGACAATCATAAAGAATTTTGATGATTGATGAGTGGTTGTCCATGTGACAATCATACAGAGTTTTGATAAATGATGTACTCTTTTAAAATATATTATAATTTAAAGTTAATTGCATGAGCACAATATACTATTTTAATGCTTGCTGATGATTTGTGGTTCTAGTAATTGCTTTACCTGCTCTTGGAATTACACCATATTGAAAAAGAGGATTAAGAAAGGAAAAAAGACTAAGCAAAATTCCCAAACCTGAGTATTTTGGTTTGATTCCTCAAACATGATCTTTAATAATTGGAAGTAAGCAAAATTCCCAAACCTTTGGGGAGAACAAATTAGATTTTTAGCATATGCTTGTTTTTCCAATTAAAGAGTGTTCTTGTATTGCCACAAACATTATGTTTCCTAATGTTATGATGAAATGATAGTTCGAAAACATCTCTCATTATTAATTTTCTTCCCCTTCTCTGTCTATAGGCTCGTCTTCCATGATTCTCGCCCGACCTTTTCTCGAATTCTGCATTTGGGGATGGGATAATCTTCCTCGAACCTTACTCATGTACTACACAAACTACTTATTATCTTCCGAAGGCTACTTCCATACCGTCATCTGCAACTCCCAAGAATTTCAGAACACCACCATTAACCATGACCTTCACTTTGTTATGTGGGACAATCATCATCAACCTCTCAACTTAACACCAGAGCATTTTGATCTCATGATCAATAGCGGAGCTCCATTTGGTCGTGGGTTTACTTCTGATGACCTAATACTTGACAGAATCGACAGTAAGATATTGAGGAGACCAAGTGGGGGTTTTACACCGGGAGGGTGGTGCTTGGGGAGCTCTTTGCTGGGTAAGGATCCTTGTGGTGTTAATGGGAAACCAAGTGTTTTGAGACCGACATTGAGTTCGAAGAGGCTTGAGAAGTTGCTGGTGAAACTCCTAGATGCTGAGAATTTCAGGCCTAAACAGTGTATATAGTTCAAAAACTGTAATTTTGTAAAGGCTGCATGTTTTTCAAGTTTGCGGGCAGTTTTGGAGGGTCATGTTGATATGTTGGTGGAAATATTGATTTGGAAATGGAAGAAATTTTTCTCACATTGATTCATTGTCATCTTTAATTATCTTTACTGATAAAAGATGTAGTGGGAAATAAGTGCTCAGGTTTAGAGATTATCCGTGGAGCTGTTTTATCGAAACCACATACTTTGACAAGGGGATTATCCATGTAGCTCAGACTAGACTCTGTGTTAAGACTGCGAATTTCACTCTAGGCGATATTACACGAGCACTATGCTCTCATTGCTCAATATGTAAATCCAAGTACATCAATATTGATGGTGTCGCCAGGAACCGTACTAGCGCCGCTACACGCTATAGTTCAGTTGGTATTCATTAGTCACATGAAGGTTGTATCTCGGTTAACTGTAAGCATGTAATTGTTTGCTGATATCGCAAGTAGGGAGCGATCATTGATCATTCCAGTTTACAACCTGAGGTTGCGATGAATGTTTCAACCAATTCAGCCACAATACCCGCTAACAGGTTGTAAAAGCAAGCACATCATGTTTCAACGGCAAATTAAAACAGCTGTATTATGGTCCGGTCATGTTACTACCAACTACCGACAACCATGAGCTATATATACTCCTGCATTCGTAATATTCAACCATATGGAAAACAGATGATGCGTATGATACTAAAGCACATAGAAGGACATTAGATGGAGACGAGGCTTACATCGATAATTAGCAAAGTGATCAAACAAAAATGATCCTAATGACGCAACTATTTCAAAGAGATCATGATCATCCACATTATTCTCATGGACCCCAGTCGCGTCGGTGACTGGTGCAGGATTTACACGAAATATAACACGGTTCATGCCCAGACCTCCTGATAATGTAGAGCAGATGTAAACAACCACCACCTCAAGATTGCATATCGAAATGCGACCTCTAATGGCTAGTTTTTTCTGACTCAAAAATTCCATACAATCCAAAATTATTTTCCTGGTGCTTATAAGCAACATCGACTGGATTTTGCAGCACTTGAAATCCACTACAGGTATTTATCTCTACCAAGACGCTGCAGATGGTAATTGATGATTGTCCTTGCTGGATTTTTTTTGGCTTTCCTTTCTTTCTGCAATTAGAATCATTCAAAAAATCATCAGGGGTACATTTACCAGTGTAGCAAAAGACACTACTTTCTCTTCCACTGTTTTTAAATCTGGATTTTTTGTGGAATATATAAACAGAAGTTGGGTTCGTAATATAATAAATCTGTTCATATATACCTGAGATTCAACACAAGCTAGCAAAAGGTCTTTGTGCCTCATGCATCTTTATATCATCATTGTTCTTGTTAAGGGACAAGCATCCAAGAAACGCGACCATCTCCTTCATGCAAGGTTTACTAACATTACCAAACTTTTTCGGGTTTATGTACAGGCCTCCAGCCTTTCGCCCCACGCTTCAAATTTGCCTAGCTGTGTAAGGGCAATAAAACCTAGATTAGTTTCAAGAGGAGAGACATAAAAAAAAAAAAAATCTAACCATCAAATGCACCTAGATTCTCGTACTAAGAAACAAAGAAATTCGTCGCCGAGTATCAGAAGCATATGAAGAATTAGACTATTTTCCGCAATTTTCCAGGGCTATGCTAGCTATTCCAATTCCTACATGTTTAAGACGGAAAGAATTTAAGTCATATACATATTGCGAAAATATGTATATCCTAAAGTTTAATTATCTGAATAAGAAAGAAGAAACGTCACAGCTTATCAAATATCAACGTCAGCGGTGCATGATATCCTAAAGTTTTTGAGAAAATTCTAACCTGGTACGCTTGTCCAGAAGTAAAATGTTTTGCCCAATCAATCCCCAATAAAATAGTTTCAAAGTTAAATTTATGTCATCCAAGCAACCCAGATGTTTGATGGAAAACAACAAATCATGGTATTTCACATTTTTCTGAATATCTGCCAGTTCTATATAGAGGAATAGAACAGAATTTTAGTACCTTCAATTTTGTTAGATAGAAGTGGGAAAATTGTATTCATAAGACCATTGAAGAGGAATTTGAATGATTATTATTATTGTTACATCTGGTTCAGCTTGATGATATGTTGCATAGGAGTGTAGTATCCAGCCCAAATATTACAAATGAATATCAACCGTATTTTCACTCAGCGAAGTCCTGACCCAAAATCTATATCTATACTACTGATAAGACGGCTATGCCAAAAACATTTGACCGTCTCCTCTACCCTCTCCATCAAAAGTTTTGACATAGCAATCCCTAACATAATAATAAGTAATACATAATAAATATAAGTACAGAGTATAGATATAAATGAAAATGAAAACATACACGTATGATTCATACAGACACACATAAATAAACATACACTTAATATGAACTTTCTGTTTTAGCACAAAGGTTCTCTATTTTCCCTTCTGTTTTTTCCGTTCCTGATAAATTGATTATTAGCACTTTTTTCTACCTCTACATCAGGAGATGGTAATTAAGCAAGCAAATCAGATCAACTTAATGTTGGAAATTCTAGCTAAATACATGCAAAATACGCAACGGAAGACTGTATGTATAATAATACTAAGCATGTAGAGAGCATGAAAAACAAGCTAGAACCATCCTAATTAAATGTAACACGATTCCTATAAAAAAGAGAGCAACCAAGAGTTTAAAGGCTTACTTTCGTAGCGTGATTCGATGGTAGATCGAACAACCCCTAGCTCGTTCTCCTTGTTGTTGTAAACCTCCTTGTAGTGGATCTCCAAGTCTTCAAATGAGCTTGATAAAATCGGAGTCTTCTTGAGACACAAGACAATATATCCACCCCGGGTACTATAAAATCCTATTACTTCCTCTTACTCAAAGATTGCTAGAGTTTAGTAAGAGGATGACTCTTTTTTATTCTCTTATGGAAAAAACATCTTAGCCAATTTTTCATTAACATTTCCATAAGAAAGAGAGCTCATATGTATAGAGTGAGATATGTCATGACTCATCTCATGAGTCATGCCATGAGTCATCTAAATGTAATAATTCCTTTAATGAGTCATGCAATGACTCATCTCATGAGTCACGCAAAGAGTCATGAAGAATCAAAACTATGTGCAAAAACCATGTTCCCAAACCATACCACCTTAATAACTCATCTTATGACTCATTAATCAAGGTATAATGAAGTGTATATTTTATAAATAAAAATACCGCATCACTATGGTGTTTCATAAATACGGTATTGCGTAATTTTTTTTCCAATTATTAACTAACAAATCATCATATGACCAAAAAATCAACGAGTTGACCAAAAGTCAACTGTTGACCAAAAAGTCGATCAACCAGTTGACTAAAGCCAATGTTTTTTATATATCTATTTATTTTTTACAATACGTTCCATCAAATAACGTTTGTAGCTTTTGCATCCAATATTTCATTATAACGAACTGGAAACGCATGATTGACTTCTTGAAGACAACGTCTCTATATTTTAGTTACTCTGTACATTTTCTTTCTGTGCATTTTTTATTTTCTATGCTTTTCTTTTATCTAAAATGAATCGCAAACATGTCAATTTATGGTGTAAAACAAATTAAGGAGTTTGGAATTCTGAAGGAAGTAAGTCTTTTATTCTCTCTAAATTACTCTCTTTGAGGGTTCTTATTCTCTCTAAATTACTCTATTCATTTATCCAAATTAATGACGATTACTGTCTGTAGACGTTCCTCAAAAATTTTGATGCTTGGGTTTCTAGAAATGATGTTTGGGAGTGGGATATATTGAATTGAGCACAAAATATGGAGCCAAAATGTGCAAGAAAATAAGTATGAATGCGTTCAGAAAACATCACTGAAATTTGTCATGACCTCAACGGCGATCAATAGTGGGATTATCGATTTAGATCTAACCTATAACTTTTAGGCTCTTTAGATGAATACGTTCAAATGAATTATTTGCATATTTATCCTCCAAAACGGATTCACCTTTTATTGCCCAACCTCTGGTTGCATCACTGAATAAATTCAATGGTTGTAACAAGACGGCTCGGTCATCATGTACTGTTGGGATAATTGAACACAGAACCATAAAATAGAACATTCACAAACACAATATTTACGTGGTTCGATCAATTTGATCTACGTCCACGGCAAGAGGGTGTTTCACTATATTTCTTTCTCAAATTACAACACTCATACAAAATTTGAGAAGTCACTTTTATTGTGTGGCTATCTCTCGTGTGTTTGTGTTTTAATCTACTCTGCCTTACACTCTCATTTCCATTTTAGGGCATGTTTGGTTATTTCCTAAAAACCAAGAAAAACCAAGAAATGGAAATGGAAAAGGTGAAAATCTCAAAAGAAAAACCAAGAAATGGAAATGGAAAAGGTGAAAATCTCAAAAAGTACTATTTCCTCCATTTCCATCCCTAAAACTCACCCACAACATCCAATAAAATATTATTTTCATCCAACAACTCATCCACATCATCTAATAAAATATTATTTTCATCTAACCACTCATCCATCACATCTAATAAAATATTATTTTCATCTAACAACTCATCCATCACATCTAATAAAATATTATTTTCATCCAAACATCACTCAACTCATCTCTTTTCATCATTTCAAATCACTCACATCATCCAATAAAATATTATAACTCATCTCTTTTCATCATTTCAAATCACTCACATCATCCAATAAAATATTATAACAATTCACCTCATTTCATTAGGGGCTGTTTGGTTGTTGTTGGTAAAGTTGTGTATTTATGACACAACTTGGAAAGTTGTTGTCCACCTCATCAATTTCACTTATCTAACAACTCATCCATCACATCTAATAAAATATTATTTTCATCTAACAACTCATCCATCACATCTAATAAAATATTATTTTCATCCAAACATCACTCAACTCATCTCTTTTCATCATTTCAAATCACTCACATCATCCAATAAAATATTATAACAATTCACCTCATCTCATTAACATTTCATTTCTTTGTTTTCATCCCAAAAAGTTGTGAAAACACTTTTCTTAATCTTGGATCACATCACCCAATAATA